TATATATATACATGTATGTATGCATATATGTATGCACGCATGTATGCATATATATGTATGTATGTATGTAAGTATTTATGTATGTATGTATGTATGTATATATGGATATACATGCATGCATGCATGCTTACTATATATGTATATATATATATGTGTGTATATGTATATACATGCATGCATGCTTACTTATACATACATATATATATATATATATTTGCTGTGATGTATCACCTAATTTATTTTCTGTTTCGGATCCTCTCACAGAGCCACATGTACCTGGTTATGGAGGAATGCGAAGGCGGTGAGCTCTTGAAATACTGCAAGGACGGTCCTCTACCTGTTCGTACCTACGTTTGTATTCTTCACCAAGTATGTTCAGAACTGTTTAGGCTTACTGTATAATCTATCACAATTCATGCTTTCGGTAAAATGGGACACTTATGGGACAGATCTATGTATGTATATTTCATCAGGTATCACCATTTGACAGCTGCCACAGTACTCCAGTTGTCATAGCTGGTTCGGATATCTGACAAGCAGTTTGCGGTTTCATTACAACAATATATTCTCAAAGTATTAAAATTGTTGTTGAGAAGTAGTTCTACACATTGGAAGGTTATATTTGGAATATCCATATTGTGAGTAGTATAGTTCTCCAATCTGCCCAAGTAGTTGTCTTCGATAGTGAAATATCATACATCTGGACAAATATGTAGCTACATTTTAAAGTACACATATCTACAACACCTCCTTACTAGTACTGATACACATACAAGTAATTGTCGAATCCATGTTACTCAGCATCGTACACATGCTATAGGGTATAAATATGAATCGTGAATTGAAAGATGTAAACTAGTATCTCAAAAATGTATGGGAACTAGGATTGTAATTCAATTATTGTATCGCACTTCCACGATATGTATTTCTTTTGAAATCTTGGAGACGCGCAGTGAATTCTGGTTTTCAAAATTTCCAATCGCTTTGCAGTCCTAAATTCAGGCCAAATATACACAATCAAACACGACCCGGTTTCATACTCAATTCGGTTATACTGTATGCGATTTTTCACTACGCTGCCATCCTCTGCTTCAAGTCACTTGACAGTCACCAATCTTCACTGCAGATTTATTTGTTGCTTCTTTATCTGCATGTGCCTATCGAAGTTCAACGCTAGAGAACAGTACATTTGGGAACAAGGCTTGCTCATAAAAATATTTTGTCTCTTAATCTTGACATGGACTGACATGACATGCGCAGATGTTTGAAGGGCTTCGATATCTACATGAAATTGGAATAGTCCACCGAGATATCAAACCATCGAATCTTCTGGTAACAAGCTCAGATCTGGCAAACGCTGACTTAAAGGTGTGCATGCGTATATCTGAGTGCGCAATTCTGGATTCTGAATGCGTTTCTGTATGGTAAATTCTTGTATATAGATAATTATATTATATATCAGCTTTTATAAGACAGCTTCACATTCGTTAGTGATTCAAGTCACTGTCGTAAATCATATTTTATACGTATATATAGTACGTAGATATCTATCATATGTTCATATGGATTTGAGCTACGGCATGGTTTCCGTTGTGGCGTTGGGGTGATTTTGGCATGTGCTAGACTAGCGCGTCGGTTGCTTAGCCATTTGCTGCAAACCTTTGAAACTTTTTCTACTGTACTGCACATATAGAGATACATTTCCCCTACTGCGCTGCAGTTGGTGAATGGATCCTTTTACTATCTGGCTGCGAACTAGGCATTGCTTGACTACCTACCTGCAATTGCCCTAGCTATCGGTTGATGTTGAAGTGTATGTCAGCATATTGAAATAGCTAAATGCAGCCTTCAGAGCAAGCTACCACCTGTTCAACCTCAGCTTCCATTTATTTGTGTTCTATGATATACTCTGCTACTTTTGGTAAACTCTCAGGGGCGTAGGCATCTATGTGAATCGATTGCTTTAGCAAAAAGGTTTGGATATTAACATGCTCATTTCGTTTACGTACAGATCGTGGACTTCGGATTTTCTAAGTTTGTGCGGCCATCAGAGAGACTGAACGATACAGTCGGTACACTGAAGTACAACGCACCGGAGATTATCAACACAGACGTCGCTTACGGCAAACCAGTGGATATGTGGTGAGTAAAACTGTCGAAAATTATGAGCTATCAATTTTTTTTATGATATGAACGTATATTAGGATAAAGTGTACTTTGCGGATACATATATACACACACACATATATATATATATATATGTATATATATATATATAGCATTTGTATATAAACAGATATATGTGTGTACCTGATATTTTGTATAATTCACATAAAATACAAGTGTATACATGTATGTGTGAGCAGGCGAGCAAAGATGTATACATACACTTATTTCATATTTGCCATGCCTATAAATATATATTTCTATTCCTATTTCATATATGTACATGTACATGTGTCATGCTACGTATATACGCAAGTACAGAAACTTCTAAATTGATATAACAATGTGTGTTTAAATACAACGATACTTTAATGTGGTGTCCATTTCAATACCTGCAAACTTATACGCATGCAACAAATTGCCATTTATACGTATGCATATTAATGGTATATCTATCCATTTCGAAGCACAGTTCTGTATCCTTAAAGTAGACTTGATATACACATTTGCGAACATATGGTTGCATACAAATGTCTGCTTGTAGATAACACGCCGCTTACGGAATGACTCGGAGCACCCTCCTTTGCTGATCAAAATAATATGTTCATTTTAATCTGGTTTAAATAGCAGGATTGTTGCTTACACAAATGATACCCAAAATGGCCCTTACAATACATCTACAAAACATAAGATTTTATTTTTTATAACTTTTTATCTCGATATCATTAACCCTGATGATGTATATGTGTCACTATATTTTAAGGTAGTACGCATTGTACTGAACGACTGTGCCTCATGATTTGCTGATCTCTACCTTGATGCCATAGGAGTGCTGGTATAATATGCTACATATGTATGACCGGTCAGTTCCCATTCATTGCCCAATCAGAGGATGAACTGGTAAACGCTATATGCCGTGGCAGGTGTGTATTTTTTAGTGATGACAGCTTTCTTCAATTGTCGGTCTGGTATTGGCTGGCCCAGGAGTTTGGAATCGTATACAAAACTACCTGTTATATTGAATGCCTCTTCTGTGAGGCTGCGAGACTGATTCTTCATGCATAAGTGTCTAATTGTCAGTGTCTATGACTGATTCGAAAAAACAGCGACTACCGAGATGTATACTTTACTTAGTGATCTCGAGTGCTTCACAGATTTCAATGTGACCATGCACGTGGACAAAATTGCGTTTCATTGCACGCACGTCTATTTTTTGTTTGCCTGTGCGTGACCGTCAGGCTGCGCACGTAACTTCGTTCTACAACGTGTACTATCACTCTGCTGCAAGTACTAGTGAGCCCAAAATGCTGTCAAGGCCTTTTGCCGTGACTGATTAATTCAATAAGCGGTTTTGGACATTCCTTATTTTCTTGATGCTCAATAATCGCTAACTCGGATATGATAACTTCGTGCACACTATCGCAGGTTACAATATCACTAAGGTTCCAATTCTCACTCTACAGTTGGTACTCCGAAATATATCGAAGTTGCTCCACATAAATGTGGATATACTTCACCCCTATTACCAGAGTGAATGTACTCCCCATGTATTCGGCTGATTCCACACCCACACTCAACTGAATGTAACCTGCGCTATATTGACTTTACTCCACACTGTACTGGATGTACTCCAATGAGTGCATATGAACATATCCATGCTCACTATTGGTCGTTTCTCCTGCGATAGGTTTGATGAGGAGAACCGGGAGTACAGAGCTTTACCAGATGAAGCGAAATCCCTAATACGCAGTTGCCTGCGGGTGTCAGCGAAAACGGTAAGATTTGAAATATTCTGTCTTAGCTATACCGGAGCTCATACGAATATATTTATATACATACATACATATATATACATATACATACACACACACACACACATACATATATATTACATATCTAGATAGATATATATATATATATATATATATATAATAAATGTATATATGTATATATGTATATATTTATATATATATATGTGTGTGTGGTGGGTGGGTGCATGCATGCATGCATGCATGCATGCAAATATATACATACATACATACATACATATATATATATATATATATATATATGCATGTATGCTGTATGTATGTATGTATGTATGTATGCATGTATGTTTGTATTTATGTATGTATGTATGTATGTATGTATCTACATGTATACGTGTATATGTGAACAAGTAGTATATATATATATATATATATATATACATAAATATATACACTCACACACACATATAGATATAGTTTAGGTAATTGAACCTATATATTTACTCATTCTTCTCATCCTGGATGAAATTTGACCCTATTAGCGCCCAACCGCCGAGGAAGTGCTACGTGGGGACTTTTTCAAACTTTACGAAGAAGACTTGATGCAAATGAACCTCGGCCACGAACTGTCAACTTTGGGGGTGGGTGGGATCAAACCAATCGCAGAGAATGATTCTGTAGCTGAAGACACCACACCAGAGACCAATGACTCAATAGCTGATGGTGAGGAAACAAGTGCCAAGAAGAGGTAGCAGTTAAAGACATGAGGGCATGTGGTCCTGATCGATCTGCTGTGGAGCCGACAGACACCTACTAAGTTAAAGACGGAGTAAAGTAGATGGGTATGTATGGCTGTGGTGGGCTATTGCGGCCAGACAGGATCGGAAAGCACAAATAGAGGTAGTAATGCAGGCGTGGGTATGCGACCGGTAATGATATATTGAAGAAGCGTTAAGCACCTGCTAGCATACAGAAGTGTATCTGTAGGGCGAGTGAGTGGGGTCCTCAATGAGTTGTATTGAAGAGCCAGGCATCCATTTGCTTGAAGCGAAGATCCAACTGAGATGGAGAGTGCTTATGTTCTGCAGTTATAGGTGTTAAAAACACAGACAATATTAACATCTGACGTTGAGGAGGCGACACTTATACGAAGATAGAGATGAGTCTCAAGAAGTGTGTGTGTAGCGTGAGAATAGCCATACGAGAGGACACGACATTTCTAGGCCAGCCATCAGAACTCTTGGTGATATGCCGCGGGACACCTTTGGGTTTACATGGCCGGGAAACACTGACGGGGGTCAGATGTGTGACGAATGATTGCTGAAGGAGAATTGGGATATCTTTCGAATGAGAGTCGATTGAAGGGCGAGAGGATACAATTTGGATCTTGAGTGAGGGATGTGAGTTTGATGTTGTTGTCGAGATGGAAATACAGCATTTTGTATTTACAGTCTTAGTGTACAATCTAACATCGGGTACAACAGTTAGCGATGAGTAGTAGGCAAGGGTATACAGTGCTAAGGTTTATACTAGTAATATATAGAACACAGAAGGCACCAAGTCGAAATAGCAGGGAGACGTGCGATATCAATCGGAGACGTGGGCGGAAAGGAAAATGATGGATTTACGGATAGTATGTACCGTATCAGTGTGTAATGTCGACAGAAGGGATAATAATACAAATATGAATAGTATGCACATTATCAATGTGGAATGTCGGCAGAAAGGGGATACTTCGTCAGATTGTACTGAGGATAAGTGAAAAAGTATCAAGTGATATATAGTTAAAACAAAAAGAGATTTAAACAAGGTATTTAGTAGAGCTTTCTCTCATTCAGGATATCACGTTGGCTATAAGAGATGACTGGCGGTGAAGGGGGTGTAGGTAGGTACAATACATAATTGATTCGAATTTGTCAGCAATTCGCAACGCGACAGCAGATAGAAGATAAGCTCGAAGAGTCAATTCGCCAATGAAAATATATACGAAACTTGCGACGATTGTGAGTACACTGTTTTTTATTCAGCATAGAGGACTGTGCCGCAGCCATAAGTATCACAGGGCCCAGGCATTGGGTAGAAAACCATTTCAATTTCTGTAGATGCTCTGTAAGTGTCTGTTCCTGAAATGCGTATGCAATCTGGTTGGCACATGTTTTGGCGGATCTAAATGTCTATCTGATGAAAATGAACAATACAAGCAATAGTGCGTGCACCTTTATTGCTGGGAGATATATTGAATTGCATATTTGATGCTAAAACAACCGATACCAGTCTTGACCTTTCAAATATAGCCCCAGTGATCGAAAGTGGGTTATCTCAGTCTTCAACTCAGGACACAGTCACGCCAATACATACTCGGCTTGTTTGAGTTGGTCATGTGTATGACATTACACTTACTCGATATATCTTAATGCTTTGGTTTCTAATGAATCAAAATAATCCCTGGGAAAACTCTTGTCCAACAGTCTCGATGGAAAAGACGACTTATCGACTACTCCTGAAGAAGTCGTATATTTAACTATAATCTCGCATCTCATCACCAACTCGGAAGTTGTCAATGACAGCACTTTCACTGGCGACCTGACCACTTACGCTACATAGTCTAAATCTACCATGACTTCCCAATTGACTTGAGATGCGTGCCGAGTGCTTGAAAACGTATGTCTGGCTTCTACATACACTTGACCGGTTTCCCCATGCAGCATGTGCGCTTATTTTCTACTTATATCTGTCTTGGATAGCTGGATATACTCTACTCGATTTGCAATACATGCTGGACGATAACCACTCGAATACTACTATTTGCTCTTTAACCGGCGTACCGAGATTAAATTGGCCATCAGTTCGTTGACGAATATGAGCTGTCGTGCTGAACAGGATCGTTTCATGAATGTGAATGAAATTTCAGCATTGGGGCAACAACGTTATTAGTATAATTTACGTACATAAGAAATTATATATAGAATTAGCACGTCGGACACAGCCATGGAAAATCCTCATCCGGTTCCACCGTTATTTCCATGCACTGCCAGTGGAACCATGTTTCGCAAATATCGCACGATATCCAATTAGGGTCCTGCAATTTTGACATACAATTACAAGTATTCAGGGTCTGGGTATACATTAGATTATAGTACAAATGATACATTTTCGATCCACAAACATTCTGCGGGATTGCCCAGGTTCAATCTGGAATATGGCACTCAATATACCAAACACGCATTCAGCATTAATAATTCACTTCAAAAAAGGGAATGCAAGTAGTTGAAGAAATAAATATTGGTCGAATTTTCACATTCAGGCTGGTGTCCCATTTATGATTGGATTCTATACATACATGGCGCACGTTGCGTACACACATGGTAGTAATTCGCAAATACTAGCAGCCACATGAAAATAAAATTAGGAAGCTTATGTGTTGGGGAAGTACACGTCGAAGGGATTCAAGTGCGTTTGTGCGTCCAATACCTGATACACAATAATTTTGAGAATCAGTTACTTGTGTCCCTTGTGCCGTCTGATAAGTAATCATATAATTCCGCAATAACACCGGTGGCTGTACAAAGCTGAAAGTGGAAAGGCATGCAACAACCAAAGCGTCCAGGCTCGCCCAAACAATGCATGCGAATTAACAGAGGAGAAATTTAAACAGACAAAGCGTCCAGGCTCACCCAAACAATGCATGCTAATTAACAGAGGAGAAATTTAAACAGACAAAGCATCCAGGCTCACCCAATCAATGCATGCGAAATAATAGAGGCCGCGATCCATTTTGCTCTCTGCAATGAAAAGTACTATACCATACCGTAGTATTGCTGCCACGGCATATGCATGCCTCATCGTATTCCAATAGATCATTTTCTGTGTACATTTCTGCACTACTGCTATATGTCATATCAGCGGCTGCATAGCCTGCCTTGTTTGTTTTTGCCTCTGTTGCCTGATGGCGATTAAAATATGATTTTGATACAAATTCAGCGGCATTATCATGTGTGTCGTTTAGATTTTTGTGTGTTTTCTAACGACAATATACGGATGGAAAATGCAGTAGACAATAATCAAGTGTCGGTGATTCGTTAAGCGCATTGAGTATGCAAGCACAGAAAATTCTTGCCAAGACAATATTTTGAATTTCTAAAGTCTTGAAATGACATGCTACGACGTTGGAGTTGCCCGGTGTTGGTCCACTGAAAAGTCATCCTTTTCGATACAGCGTTACGACAGCAAAAGTCATAAGTTGTACATAATTGGTCTTGCGCACATACACTCATAGCTTGTTGAGGATTTATTGAGTAGGTACTAGTGTACCCAATTGAGACTGCTAGCAATGTGTTCAATTGAAGATACGATGCCAGTTGGAAAGTCAACAGAGCAGCAAAATGTAAACCTTTAAACAAAAGCTATACCAGCAATACACATTTACTGGAGAGAAAACAGGCAAATGTACGAGAGACTATAGTTTACCTTTGGTGCGCTTTTTACGTCCTTCTCTTTACTTTCGCTCTTTCTTTCCGGCTTTGTGGTTGTTTTGGATTTCTTCGGTCTATCTGTTAATTTATTCAACAAACTAGTGGTAGCCTTGCGTTTCATCACTTTCTCTGTCTGCCAAATTCGAAGCGCATAAAATTGAAAAGAAAATATATCTTCAATGTCTATTTGTGACCGGTTTGATGCTACGACACACCCGTGGCTAAACTACGACAACACATAATCGCGACAACCGGAAAATAGTGAACGAATGAATGAGAAAACACGAATACTAATAGTCAGCAAGTTATTTGTGATGGTAGATGCCCTCGCCCGCCATCCACACACTTGAAAGTTGGGAAGTTCACCTTTTATGACATCCAAACGTAATACGACCGCATACTACTTTACAGAAACCCGTTACAACGGATTGTACCCACATATGATAGTTGTGAGAGCCACCTTGAATGACAACTGGAGATTGAGGTGAACACATTTCCCGAGAGGACTCATCTTTCACTACAATCAAATGATGGCACACGAACCTCCTTCTGGTCCCTTCTCTTCAGTTCGATCTCCTTTTGTTCTTCCTGCTTAACCTTTTCCAATCTTTTGGCCCTCACTTGTATCCTCCTGCTGTGTTTCTTTGCTAGTTGCTTTCTAAGCTCTTCAATCCTGGCATCTATAGTGTCTATCGAAATTAAGGGTATTAATAGGGATAACGCTGCAGATTCTGACTGCTTATAGAACAAACCACGATACTGTGCATTGTGCTCTATGATGAACAAGTAGAGTTCATTTGAACTAGTTATGGAGCAGGTACAGACACTCTGCCTCGCTCTACATCGTGAAAGCATGTATAAACGTTTGCTCGACGGCTGGACCGTGATTATCATACCATGAATATCCAAGTGCGTTGACACAATGAACGCAATCATTTAAGGTGTTAGGAAAAGCCCTAAACATTAAACCCGAAAGTATTCAGTGGCCACGTAAGCTCCAGCCCACAGACAGTGCCAACAGCCATCGATGATCGCAACACGCCGCAACTTCTACAACCCACTAACTGCATCATGTATGCTCTCCAATACGCTCACAGAACAGCAGAATCATTACACACCCAGTATGGGACTCACAAGCCAGTGTTATTCTCGCAACTAAACGAACGCTCTTAGTATACTCACTGGACATTCGGACACCACACAACCAATTAGATACACACCACATCTGCGAATATAGACAGACAGGCATGCCGTAGACGGCCATATGTCTCCCATGACTTACCGATATCGTTGGCTTCCAAAAGTGTGTCTGTATTGTCCGCATCTGCGTCTGTGTCTGATTCTGATGTGAAGGGCTCGTCACAATCCGTTTCGTATGCAGCTAGTATGGCTAATTTGTTCCTCCTCTTGAGATCCTTCGCTCTCTTCTGCAAGGTGAAAATTATATACACCATATGAGCATAATATTGCCAGGTGTGGTCTATTTACCCCGTGCATAGAACATACTCAACAGTCTACTACACCCATCATACTTAGAGACACAACCATGAAGCGGTTGAAGAAAAAAGTCAACATGCAGTATCCCTCCCCTATTCTCACGTGGAGGGCATACGACTCGCACAGACCCACTGTTTATTGTAGCGTGTGGATTGTACTGGGATGTGGTAGAAACTCAAACGTAGTAAGAACCCATGAAAAAGAGATAATAAGAAGCAACCGAATGAAAGAGATAGAACTTATGCATTTGACGAACATATTTACTCGTTCATCTGCTGTTTGATACATTCAACGTCATGGCCAGCCATCCTTCCATGGTGAGCTCTGTTAACCGTATTAAGGTTTGCATTTCAAAGAACTCTATAGATCCGTGGTTGAAATAGGAACTTGGGCACAATGATATACTAGCGGTATAGGACATGGGGATTTTGTCCCCCTACACATTGATACTCAAATCCACCATCCTATATATAGTCACGACGCACCAATAACTACATCCAGGGATAAAGATAAACAAACTGACCAGCTGTGGTGCCTCATCTACCGCAATAAATACTTTTCAGTCAGACATATGTGTTATAGCATTTGCCACAACGCATATCACAAGTTCCAGATGATGTAGAACAGCTTGCAACGATCTCACATGTCAAAGGCTCAAACTTCAATGTGACTCTAAGATAGTGCATACGTGAGGACTCTTAGTGTGACAGCTAAAAACGCATACCATGTCATCCGCGGTTGCTTTCTTCGTAGGCTTTGTACTCGCAGGTTTAGGCCCTACTGTGGGGTTCGGCAATTCAATGCGTTGCCAGATATCTTCTGGTATACCGTATCTAAGGGAGTTGAGAAGATTCAAAATTTGATTTTCGCGCTGGCTACAATCAACATGATCCATTGCAGTACACTCGGACAAAGACAATTGAAGGCGTAACCTGACACTCTAAAGTATGAATCAGGGCGGATGCCTGAACGAATCAGAAAGTGCGGTACGGATCAGAATTTTCCCACATAAACTGTAAGCTGGTACAGCTATATGCCAACTATGATACAGGTGATTTCTTTCATTACGAAGCTCTCCACATAATTTATTGTATTATTGATACATCTTTGTTTCTCTATTCTTACAGCAGCATTTACACGACTTGGTTTTCAATGGTGATTTTTGCCTGAGCATACATGAACTTTTTAACAACAAGGCTTTATCGCGATTGGCTTATGCCCCAGTATAAACAAATTGTGGAACAACGATAACTCAACGTACTTCTGCCTGTTAGCCTCTAACCGCACGGCAACCTCCGCACCCGTCACTTTATCTGTGGAGCGAACACAAGGCATATAGAGAAACTGTGAGCTATTAGCGTCTAGAAATAAGACAAACAATACATTAATGAATGATTATCTATGCACAAACAGTGTCATGCGAAATTAGCAAATGATTATAGCGTGTTCTGAAATATTGTCGAACGTATTATAGAAAAAACTTATGTTGAGTGTTATATAAAAATTTATTAAAATCATTGAAACAACAGAGAAAAAAATATTAAGGCCAATAAAGTGCAGATACTAACATGAGAGAATCTAGCAGAAGTGCAGATACTAACATGAGAGAATCTAACAGAAGTGCAAGATAAACTCGTTCAGGACATGTAGTAAACAAGTATAAAAAACAACATGAATACGTCCCTCAAAGAAAGAGTGTGGACAGTGCAGTCTAAGATCAACGAGACATATCCGAATTGAAAAACGAAGTAAGTTGTTTCAGAGCGAAAACTACATGGGTTGATGCAATGATAGCGAGACTACGAATATTATTAGTGATCTCCGAATACTTGATGCCCACTCTCACTAAACTTTCGCTAGTATAAGTCACTTAAATCATTGCAAATGTTTAGCGTATTGATGTTCAATGCCCTGCGATTCAGTAATAACACACTGGACTGCAACCACACAAGACTACCTAACTTAAACATTAAATACTTTTCAGCATATCTACGCATACTCCAAGATTACTTCAAAGACGAAAGTGCTTTACACAATGACAACATCACGCAAATACATTGAGCTAAAGATAATCTACTAGTTACAGGTTCAAGCTACCCAAGCGCAATGACGAATGTTATTGCGAGTATGTTAACGGAAACAACGCACACAGTGGGACAGCTCTGCCCATCTCAGGGTTCGTGTAATAAAACTGATCGGGTAGGATCCCCGAACATACCCCGCGGACAGTCAGATTCGAAATCGCATATCAAATACACCGTAGAAGACTGTTTCGACGCACCAATACAATACAAATATGCTTCTGGACCACAACACTACCTCCAGTATTGATGATGCATTTGTTTTTCCGTTTCACTCCTGGGCCCACAATCTTCTCGTTCACGGCCCGCACCAGGTCGGGATCGATATGCAGACCCGAAAATTCTGAGAGTAAGCGTAAAGAGCCAGTAGGTTATACTGAGACGAAGCTAACCAGAAAAATCATATTGTCTCATACAAAAATATGTCTTTAGACTCGTGCACATTCCGCCAGTTGCTTGCATACGATTTTCATTCCGTTGGGTGCTATCTGCTTATGCGTGGTCTGTGATGTGCGATTTTTATTCCCAATAGTCTTGAACTGGTCATAAAAGCATATACGTACTGCTACTAAGCAGTTTTATGCAGCAGTTGATCCTTGCATAGAGCTCATTGATACGCCAGTAAATTTACCCACCTGCTATTGCTTGCTGACCCAACAAGCGTTGCGTTTGGTTGTTGAGTTGCGAGGGGGTCTTCCCTTCCAAACAGCTGAGAAATGTTGGAAAAATTTGTAACGTAGGTTTGTGTAGGCATCCAGGAGTTCCTTTTTATGTTTGTATATTTGGGCGTGCGTCTGCACTATCTGACGAGGATATATATGAGATCATATAGGTTCACGTGAGTGCTATTCAATAAATTACGATGATAGTCCGAAAATAGAATAGTTGGATGTTGCTGTTTTATGGGCAACTGCCACAGCATCCTGTCGCATATCGAGGATAGTGTACAGTGGATAATAGTGTACAATGAGACACTCTACTGTCAGATTTCACTGGAGAGTCACATTTTCACAAACGTCGTCACGTGGCTTGTTATATTTTAAAACCAGTGAAACACAGTGTGTACACCTATATATATATATATATATATATATATATATATACATATACAGAGAGAGACACATAAACACAGACATACATATATATATATATATATATATATATATATATATATATATACAATATATAAATATATATATATATATATATATATATATATATATATATATATAATAATAATAATAATAATAGTAATAATAATAATAATAATATATATATATATATATATATAATAAAAATAATAATATATATATATATATATAGGCGCAGATGTATGAGTGCTGTTTATAGTATGCAGAAAATCAGATCATGTTATATACCCGCTATCGGTTATCTCCTTCCATCGACCTATACCAAACTTCATCAGCGCCAGCCGCAAAATCTCAATTTCTTCTCTGGTCCATCCTGAACGGGAGGTAGGTGAATGTCATAATCTTTATTCTTTTACGTAGTCGTTATATTATTATTGATATCGTCAAATTAACGTAGTAGGACAATCGAAATTGATACATCTTTTTCTAGCCGGCTGTAGAAGTACACTGAGGCACAAAAGTGCGAGATAAAAACCTACCTGGTGATAACGTAAAGTTATACAGAGACGGACTATCGCCCGAGAACTCATAGCCCTTTGGCAGGCGTAGCATTTTTCCAGATGCACCTACGTATGCGTATAGGATGCACCTGTGTGAGTGTGAAGATGCACCTATTCGTGCGCTTGCTTATCGTCACCAGATGTATTGTTCGTTTTACCACCAAGTCTGGTGATACAAATATAGCGTAAATCTACTGCGGAGTGCGGAAGAAGGGTCAGGTATGAATAGCACGCACAACAAGAGTACAAGAACTACTGATACAGATGTGGTATATCAGACATGCTAGTTTAAAGTTAAAACTTGAAAAAAATGCATTGTGGAAGATATTGCTTCTTCCCTCTTGTAGTCGGAAAGCATTCACGCTGAGGCGTCGACAAATAGGCATTTATAAAGGAACAAAAAGCTCTAACAAAGAATTTGGCGGCAAAAATATCCCGCGTAAAATACGTCATCAAGAAACCCTACAAAATCCAGATCGTCAGGGTTTTTGGCTCTTGCGGCTTTGTTTTCATGTTTGGACCCCATCACCTGTATGTAGTCTGTACTCTGTAGATATCCTCTCTAGAGTAGAGAGAGGCCTGTACTGACTACTGAGGCTGTACATCGTATGGTGCACTCGCGTATAGAAATCCACCTCGCGACCCCCAAATTTGAAGGATCATAGATCCGAAAATATTTATCCGATCCCGGCGTTAGACACGGCAATCGACTCAGAAATTCCAGGTTCAAATTTTCATATTGGACTCCAAAAAAAAATAGCACCCAAATTTTTGCCGTTTCCCAAATCACGAGTTTTCAGTACTCAACTATATGTTTGTATTCTATACCTCGACTGCAGATGTTTATTTTTTTGTTAGTGGTCAATCTGTATAAACAAAATTAATATCTAATCCTACATATGAATGTTTATTATTAATATTCCATATTGAAGATCATATGAAAAGTGTACCAAAACAATTGGACACAGTGCCGCTAGCTCACTCGATCAGACGCTTTGCCAGAGATTGCTATAGATATATAGACTGCTACTATAAAGGACTCAATTACCACCTTGCTGAGTTTGCCAAGCAGAAATATACCTTTCATCGGAGGGTACCGAAAAATATCTATGCACAACTAACTGGCGAAGGTGCCGATTGATTGCAGAATGATTTTTATCTTTCGATTGATGCAAGAAATAAAGTAAGTGTAAGCTGTAATAATGCTTTCCATGTATTTTTAAAAGTGTGGTGATTTTTTTAAGTTTTCCGGATCAAAGTGAGTGAAAAATGCATGACAAGTAGAATTCGCCGGCACACAAGTATTTAGTCAGACCTGAAATTTTTGCCACACCCAAATTTTGCCTCCTCTTTTTATTGCAGTTTTGGACAGGCCTCATCAAGACAAATCCCGTGACGTCTTCGAAATTTTCATTTTCATTTTTTTTCACACAAAAAAAATCGAGAAAATGCAACTTTTATGAAGCGGTAATATCTATACGTGAGTGCGCACCAAAGCCTGTTTTTTATTTTATTTTTAAAATGGGCTGTAGCCTGTGGTGGAGGACTGGAGGGTGTTCGGCTGTTTTATGTACACTCGGTCCTCGGTCCTCGGTCCTCGGCCCTCCTGTGGCGTGTGGAACTGTGGAATGTGGTGACTGGCGAGTGTGGTTTGTGGCTTTATTGTGTGGAGCGGGTGTGGAACTGGAGTGTGGACAACTGGACGTGGAGTGTGGACATGCGAGTCTGTGAGATTACATATGAAATAAAGTTGAAATGACAAATGTTGAGTATATTTTAAAATAACGTACTCCCCACGTAGAGATAACAATTGTGAGTAGCTCAGAGGAGTACTATCTACTCGGGTGAGTTGGGACTTGGAAGTTGGGAGTTGGGCTGTCAGGCAGTCAGACTCGGGGAAGGGACCTCGGGGCCTCAACCCTCAGGCCCCAGTGTATCCACTTCCAGTTATCCGTATCCAATGTTCATTGTTCCAGACTTCCAGTGTTCCCTTCGTATTCTGAGTGACAGAGTCTTTGACTCTCTGTGTATCTCTGATCTCTCTCACACAGTTCACTAAAATTTACAGTACACACAAACACATCCACAGCAACACATACAAGAAGACCAACAAAACACACAACAAGAGAGAGAGAGAGAAGTAGAAGAGAAGAGAGAGAGAGGGTGAGAGAGAGACTAAGAGAGTGTGTGTACATACGCGAGAGAATTTACTACATAACGACTACTAGCGTAGTCCCCATGTAGTATGTACTCTATTTTTTACTTATTTAGTATGTAGTAGCCTAAAAGTAGTAGGATATGTAGTATATACATGTATTGATTTTAGTGAACAATAGAAGTGTATGTAGAGAGACTGAGACTCTGAGAGAGGGACTCTGAGTCTCCGTGTCTGTGAGTGTATGTAAAAGTTTCCTACTCTCTCTCGAGAGAGAGTAGAAGACTAGAAGCCCTGAGGCCTGAGGGACAGACCGACAGAGAGACTGAGAGAGACTGAGAGACAGAGGGTTTTTAATTTTTTAGAAGTGTGCCGTTTGTTTTGTACTCTGAACTTCTGAAGTCTGAACAACTTTTAAAAAAATCGAAACTTCTGAAGTCTGGATTCAGGATTTTAAAATGGATTAGTATGGAACTCTAAACGGTCTAACCTGATGGGTGATGCGCGGATGACTGATGGACAGTGATGACTGATGGGTCCCGACTCCCGAGTCTACACATTTAGCGTTCTAAATTCTAAACATTCTACATACAATCTACTCTTTTCTAATTACACTCTACAATCTACGCCCAACGGGCCTACGGCATACGCCTAAAGAAGGCTACAACGCTAATTACATATTCTGATATTCGAGAAAGAAAATCCAACATAGGCAATAGGGTTGACCACTGGTGTCCCTGGAAATATAAAATTTGCACAGATATTTTCACATCAACCAGTAGAGGAGCGAAAAATGAGCACTTTGAAATCAAAGTTATCCAGTAACTGACGAGAGAACCACCTATAAAATGTATACCAATATTTCCATTGGTTAATGAGGTACATTTTCGGATACAATCCAATAGTTAGTGAGAGTCGTGATGGAAGTATCGGGGCTCTTATAATAAAAAAGTGATGATGGTCAATGTTGTCATTGTCACGTACCAGTCACGTGAATGTGATTGTTGTGTGTAAAATAGAATGTATTGAATGTATTCATTTTGACAAGAGAGGAATGCGTTATGTGTGGCATCTTTTTATAAATGTATATACTATATATACAATTATACTTCCGAAAAGTTACAACATTATTCCTGTTCATTTAGCCGTTTAGCACTAAGTAGCGTATACGACGCTTTGATTTATAACTAATATGGATACCTCACTGACACTCCCGTGTGGCGCGATCCTGGTAAGTGTTACTTTCTCATCGTGATTAAATCAGTCTAACAACCAGTATAATTGCGTGCACTCAAATTTGAATATACAATCATGAAAGATATCATCAACATCATACCATACTTCGAAACGCCCGGAGCGCAGTAGTTTTGATCTCCACATTCAGATTTTCTCAGACCATGATGTTCACACACACAAATCATAACTCAGAATCGAGTACTATACGCACTACTGATATTCATTGGTATGCTATAGGCATGAAACATACACATCCGCACAAACACACAGTTTTGTATATTCATCTTCATATATGCATATCAGGTAGTTTGCTCAAAAAAAATTGCCTGGCTTCGGATGCAGTAAATTGCAGGTCACTGGCACAGACGATAGGACACGCAACTTATGTGACGCTGCATTTACGGATGTCTATAGTACTCTTGCAGATGTCATTATGTTGCAGATGTCATTACGTGTTTTTGTGTTTGTGATGTGATTATAGATCAGCTCAATAGGCTTCCCAAACCTCACACATGAACACTTGATACTCTCCTAGGGGTTTGCCATAGTGCTATCGATCGTTATTTATTAGCCTGCTTTTATTTTCATCTATGTATGGTGTGTATCATAGTACTACTAACCGAACAAGCATGGTATAACTTACTGAATGCCTTCACGTACTATTTGGTTTACACGCGTAGAAAAACCGCATCGCCAAAGCCGCCATGACTGAAGGACTGGCCACTTTTGATGGACGCTCAACCGATGAGCTGTGTAACTTATATCGCGTGTGGGCTGAGGGTGGCGCAGGTGTGTACACTTATTATTATTCAACTACGCAGATGCATGTGTATGTGTGTATTCTGGATCTCAGTAAATTCGAAGCATTGTGTTCGTTAGTTTCATCGGCACAATCGAACTGTTCAAACAAGGCATCGACAGAAAATCTTTCTGAAGAGTCTCTCTACTCGTAAATTTGCCCAAACGTATAACAGATGCCCCACCTGATATACCTGCAATTATGATATGTGAACTCAAAATCGCATGTGGATGAAGCAGCGTATATCTGTGGGCATCGATGTGAGTTTGATCCAGGATATTTCTGTTTAGCTAAATGTATGCCACGGTGCAGATTGACAGTTTAGATTGTTGCGACAAGGTTCATATCTATGTGGGTGAACTTTTTGTATATCAATGATCCACATCAGTACTAGCTGTGACCTTCAAAGTAACATCAATTTTCAAGCCTCTGACAATGTGAATGTCTATAATAGTCTATCGCTTCAAGTCGTGAGTGGTAGGCCTAGTATACTAAGCACAACGCACCTGAGTTGTAAATTGTATGCAATCATAGTTCGATCGAGTGTTCTTGTGAGATTCTCCAAGGCGGAACAGTTTGGAATGATAGTGCCCGGTAAAAGCAAAGCATCTAGTTTTGTACGTAAGCGTACCTTTAGCTGCCTATTTTCCGGAACTTGCTCTGGAAGATTTGTTGATTTTGTTCAATATGAGCTTGTGCCATACTCTCCCTGACCATCCGCACGTGCCCCCCATCAATCGCTATGGCGCTATACGCACTCGAGGAATTGGTTCATATATAACTTTTCTGTGCTAGAAATTTGCACAGATATATTAGTACAATTAACAATTGCTTGCTAGCAGCTTGTATCAATATTTCAAAGTTTATGTTTGATGTAGGTGTCCGTTTACATGTATGTTGTGTTCGACACAGGATTATTGACAACTGGGAACGTGCCATTACATTTCAAGGCATATCTAACATTTAACTAAAAACGTGTCTTAATATATTTCATTGCAGGCTTGTTGATTACCGGTAATGTACAGATTGATAGCGAACATCTCGAGCGCATAGGCAATGTGATGATTGAAGGTACTCCAGACGAGGACAGAATGGCTCGTCTTCGCAAATATGCCGAAGCAGGTACCCGCAACAACACGCATCTCTGGTATGACCTCACGCCTGAATGCAAGTATTCTACAGGAAAAATCCATCATCGGAGTGGTTGTTATGATCTAGATATGGCAGTTCCTTTCGCCCACCCAAAGGGTAATTCGCACTTTAGAAGTTTTTGGAAATACAACATAATAGCTGCACCACCGTACCCAATTCGGATCGTTTGCTAAAAAGTTCAGATACCACTTCGAAGCGACAGTTAACACTTCACACCTACTACCTTTATTTAGTCTCATGAATTCCTATTCTTACTTCGGTTGACCAGGGCACAGATTAGCCACGCTGGCAGACAAACCAACCCTACTGTCAATCAAGCGCCGAAGGTATGTTGATTTTTATTAGACTTTTGCGCTACTTATAGATTCACTTTTCTGCAGATCGTCTCAGGTTTGGTTTAATCACATCCTAATTATATGTTTCGACTCGTGCTCCAGGTATTGCAAGTGTGGTGCCTTTGTGTGCGAGAATAGGTGTCTGTGTAGACTGGTCCCAGGGTTATCTGTGTAGGCTACTGTACAGTTATTTGACGCTTGCTGCTTACTTATATGTTGATATGGAGTTGAAGCCGACATTAGACCTGCATACAGTGAAAAGATAGAAGTGGCAATGAGCGTACGATTGAAATCTGTTCTGCTCATTGAACAATCCGCAGGCAATGTCGGCAGTTCCAGTCAAAGTTCCCGGCTTTGGAAACCCTGTCGAACTAACCATCGCGGAGATCGAGCAGGTACGATGGCATATACGGATATAATGCGGGCGTTGTATAGTATGTTAGCTGATTACGATACTGCAGGGAAGAGTACACGACTGACATGCATAGTGCATATTCGACATGCTACAATTGGGGATTAGCACATAGTATATTGCTACCTTGTGCAGCGTAAATTGAATTTATGCGTATATTTTAGTGGAAGTCCCTCGCTTGGCTATTTGCATATGTGTGTGTACGGCTAGGCGATAGAATCGAACTGTATCTGGAAATTACATTTACATTTATACTATGGATTATCTATTGCTCGCCTCGCGACTTGCAATATCTGTTAAGCGCGTGGGTGCTTACATGCTAGGCTCCTCATTCGAGCTCCAATTACTGATGTAGGCGAATCTCTTCGTTCGTGTCTATGCAACTATTATCGCCTGCAAATATGACCAGATTCGTCATAACTACCGTTTCTCAGCTATATGAACATTCTTCCAGATGGACTATGTTCTCGTATTCGACTATACTCTTTATTTATACCACTATTCTCCCACTTGAATGACTATATTCTTTTTGTTAATAATCACTTGAATGACTATTCTTTTTGTTAATGATCATTTGAATGACTATGTTCTTCTTGTTAATGATCACTTGAATGACTATTACTTTTTGTTGGTGATGATTCGTGAATGACTTTCTTCTCGTATATGATCTGTTTCTCCGTCTATAACACTGCTTCCTCTCCTGAGTACATCGTAAATGTCCATTCGCTCATCCATATGACAATTCCCTTGGGCGATCGTTCTTCAGATTGTTGAACGCTTTGCAACAGCGGCTCTGGCGTTAAAGGCAGCCGGATTCACCGGAATACAAATCCACGGAGCCCACGGCTATTTAATCGCAAGCAGTCTGAGCCCATTGGCCAATCTGCGAACAGACAAATACGGTATGTCTACGTTTCCAACAAAATGGTGCAGATTTGGCAAACCTGTGCACAAACGCATACGATAGACATTTACAGCCTATTTAATATTCAACAACTATCGATATTTGATTCAAGTCTCAGTCGCCAGTGTGCTATTGTGGTGATATCGGGTGGAGGCGATGTATCAGTTTCCGAGCGAGCTACTACAATTGGTAGATTCATATGCATAAACATGTAAGCCGCCACAATGTTTTAGGCACATCTATTCTATGTTGAATTATTTTGCCATACACACCCACGGGTGTGCTCTGAAATTGTTTTAGGATGCAGTGTAGTTGTAACCACAATCATATGGACCAACTCGATGCCTGTGCGATCTTGTTTGTAGCGACGAGAACGCATGCCAACAGCAACGCAAAGTTCCCACACATGTCATTGAACAAGAATACGTCTCATTGTATGTCAAACACTGCCCTCGATGTATGTCATTCAGGTGGTTCTTTGGAGAATCGTGCACGCATGCTTCTGGATATTATCCATGCATGCCGTGCAGCTGTAGGCCCCGCCTTCCCCATTAGCGTAAAGATCAACAGCGCGGACTTCCAGCATGGTGGATTCACGTCGGACGATTGCTTTGTTGTAGTGGATTGGCTTCAGAAAGCGAGGTAAGGGCCCAGTCGCTGCATTCTATACATCTGCTTCCTAAACACCTGCAGCCCACAGACCATTCCGTACAGATGGGGTCCTCAATGTGTGGGCGGGCCACAATACATACATCACTCCTGAGGCTTCAAAACATCTGCACACCGTGTTTTTGAGCATCGTCATCATTGCTACGAGCAAGATTTATTTCGAGGCGTTAAATGTGTGATAGTTTTATTCCCGGCGTTTAGCGAGTGTGCTGTGTTGTCTACTACACACAGAGAACTGCCGACTGACTGGTCGGTCAACATCGAGCCCAACGCATGTCATGTCTTGATTTTTACACCCCACTATTGTTCACATGTGCTGCGCAGATTAACTTTTTGTATGAAAAAAATCACACATTTATTCAAACTTTATCATCGAGTTGTGCTACATGTATAAATCCATTTCGTGTTGCTACATGCATAAATGCGTTTCGTGTTGCTACATGTATAATTGTATTTCGTGTTGCTGCATGTATGATTGCATCTCAAAATGTGCCCACCACATCTGCATACAGCGTTGATCTGATCGAGATCTCCGGCGGCACGTACGAGTCGCCTGAGATGTTCTCAGGCACCAAACTCAAAGCAGAGCATGACGCCGCCAAGAAGAAAGAGGAGGAGACGAACGCCCTCAAACAGCAGTCCACACTCGCACGTGAAGCTTACTTCGTTAAATTTGCGCAGCAGATGCGCGAGAAGGTCAACATCCCCCTAATGGTCACCGGTGGGTTTAGAACACGCTCAGTCATGGAGCATGCCGTGGCCACGCAGTCTGTGGACGTTGTGGGGATTGCACGGCCAATGTGTATCATGACAGATGCACCGCAGAAACTGCTGGACGGGACTGTGGATATCCTGCCCTCGTACGAGGACAATGTGGGTGTGCCGCTTTATGCCTCGATATTCAGCAAGTTCAGAATTGGCAGGAGTGCGAATATTGCAGCGGTGGTGATGTACTTGTACGCGCAGATTTATGCGATTGCGAGAAATGGCGTGGCTGATGAGAACATGTCGAGAGTAGTTGCGCTGTACAATGCTTACACGCATGATTCTAAGCTCCTTCCCGAGTATACTGCTTGGAGGAAGGAAGTTAATACAAAGGCTTGAATATACGAAGAAATAGCATAGCAGTATTAAAGCAAATAATCTATATTCTTTGTATCCGGGATAGACTCGAAATACTTGGACCTCACTCCCTGTGTTGGACTAGGCCTTTCCATATTATTGGAGACATTCCGATCCAAGTTTCTTGCGTGGAGCGCGTAGAGCGGCACGCGCTTCCAATTGTCGTATTTTCTGTTCTGCTACTGAGTTTTCTGGTGATAGAGACACAGTATTCCCCTGTCGGCGCTCATTCAGGTCGTAAGCAAGTATTTCCACATTTTCGATTAGTATCAGCTGTCTTCTCTGGCTACTTGTTACACAGGCCATTTAGGTTGTTTTTCGCTTTCCTCGACGAATGATTAGTGTGTACTCAGGTGTGGTTTCGAAATGCCAACATTGACTTTGAATTTTATTGGCTTTGGTTAACTATTGAATGAAGTCTCCAAGCGCGGTCTAATAACGAAAAACGAACAACATGGATATGGTTTCAAGCAGTCGAAATGAGCGCTACGGGCACCGCACGAATGATCAGTATACACTCAAGGTGAGATAGACGGCATTATTTCTATCGGACACTGGGTAGTCGGTGTAAAATGTGATTTTCGACCTTGTCAAATTTATTGTCCGAGTATCCCTGAAAATTCTATGTGGACGTATGCGAGTATATCAGTAGAACTTGATGCATCTACAACTCAAAATTCATACAACGAGAGTAACGGAAGAAGATTAAGTATGTGTAAGCTACGTGGCATACGCCAAAGCACCTGATTATGTCTACTACGACACCCTTGGCAATTGATCGCCTCTGGTGCTAGCCAGGAACGACAACAGTCTAAACACCCGAAGTTTAGCAGCAGCTGCAACAAGTAGGAATCCTGCCGCTGTTTGGAGAGCTGGTTCTCCCAGTATGTAGATGTGAGCGTACGCATACCGTGTATTTAGATTAAAGGCACAAGTGCAAACATTGGACGAAATATAAGCCCCATGTCTTACGCCCTAGTTGGGTAATTTCCAGTGCAAACATAAGAAGTATAAGCTACATGTCTTACGCCCTGGATACATATTAAAAGCCACAAGTGCAAACATCAGAAGGAACGCTATATGTCTTACGCTCTGGTTACAAAAAATTTATTCGTCCATGGCCTCTAAATTGCCCTTTGTTCCCATAACATTGAAGGTATTTCCTGGGAATAACGCATCGGATGAGAACCCAAAGTTCAGCGGTAGCTGCGACGACGAGAAAGACTCCTGCCGCTGTGCGGAAAACCGGTCATCCCCATTTATCACGGATTGCATGGTGTTCATATGCGACAAGGTATTATCCCCGCGTGCACTGTTCATGTGTGCTAAGGAGTTATCTCCCTGTCCACTGTTCATGGGCGTTAACGAGTTATTGCCGGGAGCGCTGTTCATATGTGCCAGGGTGTTGTCCCCGTGGGCACTGTTCATATGTGACATGGTGTTGTTCGCGCGTGCGCTGTGTTGCTGCTGCTGCTGCTGTGGGAATGCGTTGTTGCCGTTCATGTTCATTTCCATGAAGTTGTTGCTCGACACTTGTGCGCGGTGTTTGTTCATCGATTGCAAATCTGGCACACTGATCGAATGGATCAACCCTGGACCCGCCAGATTCCTGTGCAGATCACCTTTGTAACTGTGTAGGTAGGCAGTGCATTCGTATTTGTGATTTTAAGCCACGCGTACAACACACTAGTATACAGTACAAGTATGCAACACATCGGTGCTTATAATGCGAGCTAGCGCTTGTGATTGAGAATCTCTGCCGAGGAGCAATGCATGCAAAACAGAGTGCAAGTGGTGAATCAGCAGACAAAGGGCCACGAATGAAATCAACATTGAAACAGCGCGGACGTACGTAGTCAGGTCATTAGCTATCGGCGATTCTCGCAAGGCTGACATTCTGGTGTAAACCATGTAAATATCAACCAAACAGGTATATATAAAAACCCCCTAAATAGGACATTCGATTTCTTGCATTTGCCGGTATGCTTGGTTGGCATGGCCATTCGTATTCCGAGCTTACTATGCATCGTCTGAGACCCGCAACGAGAACATCAGGATGGTACTTACTATACATCACGTGATATCCACAACGAGAACATCAGGATGGTGCTTACCATACATCACGTGATATCCACAACGAGAACATCAGGATGGTGCTTACTATACATCACGTGATATCCACAACGAGAACATCAGGATGGTGCAGGTGGCGACAGCGCGGCGACACTGGAAATCTAAAGATATACTTATACTTAGGTGTGGTGTCCACAGGTGGCATTGATCAGGCAATTGCAGATGCAAACGAGTATACCCGGACGCACATGAGACTCATACCCCATTGCAAATTACACAAGTGAAACGTTTTAGTTTCTTACGTCTGATCCTGCCATATGAAACTCATATCCCTTTGTAAGTCACACAAGTGAAACGTTTTACCCTATCTGCTCAAAAGCAGCGCGTGTGGAACACGAGACATTGACAGCATCGAAAAGGGCACGTGTATACTAGTCTGTATTGCGCCTGCTGTGGTCTTAGCTTCTACGCACCCTCGATTCGCTTCGATACATAAACATCGCTCACTTCCCATGCTGCACTCACTTACCTCTCCTTAATAATAAACCACTCGTCTACATGCGTCCACGGGATAGCATACAATAAGCGAAATACAATAAATTAATTTTCGTTCTTATGAATACAACAATGAAACTTCATATCTACACGAATCTATACCCATGCAACAAGCATGACTGAGATGCTTATTGACACTTCGGACTTACAGATTAGGGGACTGGAGGCTTTGCTGCGGCATTAGGCCTCCCTTCGGCCCGCCCCCGAGTTTCGCCATACCCATCTCGTTGATACTGTTTAAACTGACGTTCATGTTGTTCAGGTTGCCCATACCATTCCCAAACACTCCTGGGCTGAAGCTGTCGTAGCTCTGGTTGTGCACTGATGGCGACGTGGGAACGGGTCGCTGTGCATGGCCTGATGGTGCGTTGATCTGCATAGAGTGGTGGAGAGCGAGATGATGTAAGTACGGGTATATAGTGCAGTGTGTGATATAATGAGAGGTATGCCAGAGTGTGCGATGTCACAAGAGATATGCCAGAGTGTGCGATGTCACAAGAGATATGCCAGAGTGTGGTGAAATGAGAGACAAACCAGTGTGTGGTGGATGAAAGTGACAATTGAGGGTCCGATGATGTGGGTACTAGAACGGAGTGTAAGACTATGCAAATGACATGACAGTGTGTGATGGCACAGGCCATAGGCGTCCCACTCACGTTACAAGAGATATATAGGACGCACTATTTACTCATGACTCACCTTTTAAATGCGACAAGATTCAATTGTTCCTAGGAGATTTACAATTGTGTTCAGAAATCGTGTTCGTCTCACACTCACTCATCTACTGAGATACACACCATCCAATTGTGTTCACATTACGACATCGCATACAGAACACGACACACCCACTCGTCCCCATGAATCAATTGTGTTCATATACGCACACTTACAGATTGATTGTCCATGGAGAAGTTGAAGGCCAGTTTGCTACCGTTCATGTTGTATAACGAAGGCTCTGGTGACAGAGCCCTATGGCCACCGCGTGATACATTCGGAGGTGGATATCTGTCCGTACTCGTCGACACCAAAGCATTGCCCCTGTACGGGCTTCGTGGTTGCGTACCCGGATTGCCATAGTTACCGGGATTGGAGTTTGTAGGCACCCCTCGCAGGCGCAGTGTTTCGGCCAGTCTGTAGTTGTCGTTTGTTATTGTATCTAATTCCTGTCGCAGGTGCTTTATGTAGTTTACCGTCTGTATGCAAAGGAATTGTGACCGTCGTTCGTTATATGGTGTTGTGTTTGTTCACAGGGTTGTGTGCTCACATTGGATGTAATAATGTACAATTCTTGGTGCAGATATACTTTCTGTAGTTTACTGACTGCATAGGGAGGACTTTAGTTGTTGGATGCGTGGATGACAGCCGAAGTTGTTGTGTCCTATTCTCACCGCGCGTGCTCCATGTATTTAACCGTCTGTAGTAGGTGTGAATAACAGTTTGTATCAACATATGTAGGTGTGAATAACAATGTGTATCAACATATGTAGTTGTGAATAACACTATGTATCAACATATGTAAGTGTGAATGACAGAGTGTATCAGCATATGTAGATGTGAATAACAGTGTGAATAACAGTATGTATCAATATATGTAGGTGTGAACAACAGTGTGTATCAACAGGTGTAGGTGTGAATAACAGAGTGTATCAACAACTACTGACCGTATGCTATATGTACAATTGCTGTCGCAGGTGCCCAATGTAGTTTACTGTCTGCAAGGGAGATGAGATCTGAATCAGCCATGTATGTATAGTGAAGAAAAGTCGTTGTCAAATGTGTCTAATTCGCGTCGAAGAGTGCATGTAGTTTATAGTCTATATATACAACAAGGTGTGAATGAGTAATGTATAAAGAGCCTATCCCCGGTTGTGTGTGTAGTGAGATGCGAATAAGAGACGACATTTTGCTGTGTCATACTGCACCGACTGTGTGAAAGTTTAGCGCCCAAAGCATGATAGCCAGCCCGTGCGCCCTTGATAAAAATAACAGATATCAAATCCATTTGTACTCGTACACTTTGTGCTCGTACGTTCTTTATGAATGGTATGAGATATAAGTCATCATATCTGTTAACTTCACACCACAGCTATGTGAGTATGCCAATTTCCCTTATATATAAAACCGTATAGAATTGAAAACACTAATGCAGTGCACAACGTACCTTGGTAAGTATCGCCACTTTTCTCGTGCGAGAATTACACAGTGGGACAGTCTTTATCAGGTCGTCAAAGCGTTCCTTCATGCTCGCCCTCCGTCTCTGAAAAGCCAAACAAACAGAAGTAAGGTGCAGTTCAGAAAAAAATGTCGCAACCTTATGTTTATGAATATGCATACGTAAGCGTATCACTATGTATATAGGTATACAAAATGCACAAACATAACAAAAAAAAGTAGCATAAACCTAAACGCAAGTATGCACAGATACACACACACACATATATATATATATATATACAAAATAAAATGAATAAACAGAAATAGTGAACATATATATA